CACACTGCAAACCTTTTCAAATGTATAAAACATAAAGTGATATTTCAGCACCCCTTCTAGCATAATCACTGATAAGAAAATGGAATATATAATTCTTTAGCCCTCGAGGATACTGTGATCCATGTCTTCGGCAAATATTAACAAATATTTCTCCAGAATAATAACTGGTTTGGAGTTTAAATTTCTGTCAATGAAGAGAGAAATAATATCTTATTTTCATAATATAACCCTTTTAAAATTCCAGAGTTAATCTAAAACAAAATGAAGGTATAAAAATGGGAGCCTCATTTTGAGTAATTTAAGAAAAGAATAACAGCTGGCTTGAACTGAAGTGCTGCTGGATTTAGGTATGTGTTGTAGGCAGGCCCATGAGAGGTGCTGGGGCAGATATCAATAATTACGTCTGGATTCAGTCTACATGAGACATTAAATGTGACTTTTTTGTGTAAATATCAATAAGGACCCTCTGTTATATACCTTATGTTTATATCAGTCAGGCAAAGGAATATAAATTTGGTACCTTAAAAAAAACAAAAGATTAAACAAAAATGAGAAGTTCAGCTCTGGATAATTAATGTTTGGCACCCTCATCAAGGTGAGTTGTTATGTTTATTCTGAAAACTCACATCCCATGCTTTCACAGCTGCCTTTTTTATACCTAATGTAAGTAGGGGGAAGATCAGAAATAGTTAATAAACTAAGTAAAAAAATATAAAAGTTATTTATTGTTTTTTAGGAAATGGAGACTAGAGATATTTAATCAACACATTTACTTTTAAATTCATTGAACCATATTACCCCCTTTTTTACATGCATGTACCTAAACAGCTAGATAAACATAAACAGGAAAACTTTTCTTCTAGAGATCAAAAACAACCAAAAGTCCATGTAAAGTCAATATTTTTAATTGACTTTCAAATCTTGTCATTTGACATTAAGCAATAAAATCTGGAGCCCATTTTAGAGATGTACTAAATTCCCAGGTTGAAAGCAAATGCTGTTTCTTGTTTCGTGTGTGTGTGTGTGTGTGTGTGTGTGTGTGTGTGTGTGTCTCATCAGCACAACTAAGACAAAATTGCAGCCAGGCCTGGACCACTGCCAAGCAATTGATTATTAGCCATTAAAAGGGAAATGTTTACTTATTCATGGCAACTAGTTTTCAGAAGGAAAGGCAAATAGAGGTCTGATTTTAAATGCAGCCTTTTCCTTCCATCCTAAAGCTGATCAAGATCATTCACTTCTTGGAAGTGTCAAAAGCCCGTTTTTATTTTCCTTTTGCTATTTTAACCAGAATGCTGATTTTTAAAAGGTACGAGCAGTTGCTATGAGGCAAAGAAAAATGTCCTGGCAGTTGAGGGCCCTCCATCTATCAAGGGGAATTTGCAATGTTGCCTCTCTTCAATACTGTATAGATTTGCAGGATTTTGTGAAACACTTAACCAAAATGGAAGGATTTAAAAACAGGACGCAAGATATAGATGCAATCATTTTTTAAAAATCAAGATACTTTAGTTTTATTTAAGAAATTTCTGGTTTTAAATTCTTAAGCACGCAGCAGTGCTGATCTTCTCAGATAATACTTTTGAAAGGATGATTAAGGCAGACTGCTTAAATATATTCACTATAGCACAGATGCCTAAGGATTAAAAAATCCTAGTGGGATTGAGATAAACTCCCTCCAATTATAGGAAAACAAATACTTATCTAATAACAATATTCACAAGCTATGTGGAGTTGCAAACTAAGTGTCCAGAACACTGAACAATATTTTAATCCGAAAAGACTGTGCAGCTAGATACTTATTTGTGATTCTAAGAATCTCTTAGGAATTGGAGGCAATTCACATAGACATTTCCGATATGTATAAAATGTAATGTCTTGACTACTTTTTTCTATTGATCTAATATAAAAATAATTTTTTCCTTCCCTGTCTCTGAGATTATCTGATGTGAAGAGACAATAAAGAAAGAACCTTTCTCTAATAATCCTGGCTCTCTACTTCTTCAGAAGGCACAGTTTAAATGAAACAACCTCCTGGAGACCCCAGGCTGGACTCTTGGAGATAATTTAGTAAAGCCCCAACACAGGGTTGGGAGGAAGACTGGACCACCACAGAAGAGCCTCTGAGGGAGGGGAGAATCCCAGGAGAAGCAGGGTGCTATCTAGAAGCAGGAGTTGCAGTTTCCCTGGGGGATTCAGAACACAGACTTAAGGCCTGGGAACACTGTTCCCACATCAGGGAAGGCGAGGCCAGAAGTAATATTCAGAGCTAATCTCAGAGCGAGGTCCTCCCCAGAGTGTAAGGCAAGATGGGGGATGCATCCCCTCTTTGGGAGCCAAATACTAAGAGTAAAAGCAAATATTTGAAGCTGAAGAGCTCTTAAGAACTGAAGAGTGCCATTTACTTATTTCTACACGTCAGTGTGGGCTTAGGGTGTTAAATAGATTAAAAGGCTAAGAGAGGTCAGTCACTCCAGGGAAGATTCCTCTTTTGCTTCTGCTAACGTGGTTCTCTTTCCAACATTGGGATCGACTCCACTCCACTCTCGTGGAGGGTCCTCTGGAAACTCAGAAGATGGCCCATGCTCTCCTAGAATATTCTGGAGAATGTGGAGTGAGTCTTTGGGATGAGAGTTCCAGAATACAATGAAGATTATTTTAGAAAAATTAAATAGACTGGATCATGAAACTTGTAGGGTTCTTAGAAGTTATCAAATCTGGTCTCCTCTGTTTCAGATGAGAAAGTAAAAGAGGCTCAGATGGAGGAGGTGATCAGGGCTCACTGGGGACAGAGCTGGGTGCCAACCTACTCCCAGCCCAGAGCTGCTTCTGCCTGGCAATGTCTGGAGGTTCAAACCCTAATTTCCGAGTCTGTCCTAGTGCTTCCCTGGGACAGACAGTCTTTGGCAGTGCCCTCCTTCACCTCTCTCAGGAGATGGGCTGGCAGAGGTTGCTGGGCCTGGAGTCCACAGGCCCCCCTAGGCCAGTCTGCGGCCTGACCAGCCTCTATGATGCTGAAGCTTAAGGGGCAGTGGGCTCCAGATTCCCAGCTTCTACCACCGCCCCTCCTCACCCCTGTCCTACCCCACAGTAACCTTCTCCCCATCTCAGAGAGGGCAGCCAAATCATTTCAATTTGATCTTATTTAAAAAGACATAACTAATAAATCTATTGCCGGGGGCTGCGGAGAGACAGCCAGCAGGAGTCGATCGCGCTCCCAAATCCCATTGAACCCCACTGAAAACCATGACAACACAGGACAAGCCCTGATTTATCCCGGCGCGCTAACGCGCATTGTGAGCAGGCGTCAATCAAGCATTATTTCGGACTGAACAAATGCAAAATCTTGACTGGAACAAATGCTTCCAACAGGTCCGGGGCGTCGAGCTTCATTTCCCCTTTGTCCTCGGCCTAGCAGTTGTCCTGTATTGGGCTGGCCCCCGCCCGACCACCCAGAGCGCCGCGCAGCCCTGGGTGCCACGGGCACGCTTGCCGGCGAGGCTGCTGGGCAAGGCGTGCCAGACCCTGCGGTGCCCTGGCAACTCAGCGGACCAGGTCTGCGTTCAGCTCAGGTGGACCTGCCTCCCCCTCCCCGCCAAGCGCCACGCCCCTCACTCAATGTAACAACTAAACACCCAAACCAGGGGCTGCCCCAGGAGAGGCCTCGGAGAGTATGTTCCCTGAGCAATAGACTGAAACGTGTGGGCCATCAAAATGTGTCCACTCCGGAGCTCCCGGAGCCGTCTACACTGACCATTTCCTTGGGCTGGGCTGTGGGGACTAGATCTTGGAGAAACTCCAGGCAAGCCGTCTTTTCTGCCCCTCTAATTATCCCAGTTGGTCCCGCACTGACTAGGGATGGAGCGGGAACCCAGTCTTGCGCAAAGGCCAAATTCCCGACACCTGGACCTGATGCTAAGGGTACAGAACCGGGGTACACAGGTGGCGCCAGGAGTTCTAGGGACGCCAAAGCCGCAAAGCCCTCCTGGGCCACCCTGCCAGTCGCCTCTGCCCCGTGAACTCCGAATCGGACTGGGCTCACTCTGCGGGGCTAAGCCAGCGAGCCTGGCACTCCAGAATGAATTGCGTGGCCAGGATGGGGACACTGGCGCTGAGCCAGGGCTCCTACCCCTGCACCTCTGACGTTGAGGGGGACATGTGGGGTGTGAGGAGGCTCCTAGTGGCATTTAAAACCACTGGCCCAGATGCTGGTGCAGCCAGGCCGCTCCTCTGCGCCTCCTTGAAACGTCTTGCCTCGGGAGTCCTCGGAGGGGTCCGGCTAAAAAGAGAAGAGAACGCGCCAGTGTAACGCCGTCTTGTAAATAACTTTCTGGGCATTTGCGGGAAACGAACATTCTGGTAAACAAGCTGAAGAAATAAGCAAACAGGGAATACATTCCTGGGTGCCCATAAACCTACTCACGCCGCCCCCACCCATCCTGGAGCTCCCGTGGGGCCAGGCCCTGAGTCGGCCGGGGTTGGGGGGAGGGGGGAGGAGGAAGCTGGGGATGGGCAGGCGGGTGGTGGCCACAGCTTGCCACCCAAGATGTTATTCACTGGTAACAATCCCCATTATCTGCCCCCACTCTGGGCTAATCAGACAGAATTGCTAATGCCGGCCGAGGGCTGCTTCCTGCTGCCTCTGGGAGGTAACGGGCACCGAGGGAGGGGCGGGGGCCGGGGCGGGGCGGGGGGCGGAGGTGGCATCTTCCGGGCTCGCCGGGCTTTGGTCCAGCACTCATTTAGGTACTTAACACCCCGGAGACCAGGACCTCGCCTTTCAAAGCACCCCGGGCGGGAAGAGCTGTGTATATAGACGGGGATTCCGCTGTGAGCGCCACGATAAGAGAGGCAGCCCGCGCGCGAGGCGCGCGCCCCTCACGCCCACCCGTAGGAGCGGCGTCCCCGGCGGCCGCTCCCGGCTCCCAGCCTGACCTGCCCCTCACCTCCTTCCTTCCCCTCCTTCCCTCACCTCCTTCCCCTCCTTCCCCTCCTCCGCCATGACCGCCGCCGGACGCCTCGGCTTCACGGTGCGCAGGCTCCTGGATCTGCCCGAGCAGGACGCGCAGCCTCTGCGGCGGCGGGAGCCCGAGCCGCGCGCCCCGGGGCCCGGGCCCGGCCTCTCCTGGCGGGACCCCGAGCGCGGCCCCTGCGCGTGTGAGTGACGGAGGGCGGCCCGAGGGGGAGGGGCGCGCAGATCCCCTCCGTGGTAACCCCGCAGGCTGTGCCCTCCAGCCCCTCCGTCGGCACACCCTGAGGGCAGGTCCCTGCGCCCTGGCACCGAGGCTAGGTACCTGGGCTTCTGTTTCTAGGAGGTCAGGGTGTTTGAATGTTTAAGACAGAGCCCTTCAATGCCTGGAAACAGGGTCACGCCTGCAGTCCTCCATGTGGGATGGGCAGAATCAGCGAACTTAGCCCTACTCCTTGGACTCAGGGCTTTGCAAACCTCGGCACACTGTGGCGCGCTCCGCCCGGAGGGGGCCCGGGTCGGTGAGGCAGGTTGCAGTACATCCGTCTGCCAGCCCGGCCACCAGTGTAGATCAGGGCTTGTTTTCAGAGGGCCCCGGATGGGTTCCTTTGGGGGCGCGGTCTATAAAAGGTTGTGGTCTTAAAGATCACTAAGTTGGAAGAGAGGGGTGTTCCGATGTGGGCCCGGGGAAGGAAACTGCCTCCCCGTCCCTCCCCGAGCCCCGGGAGAAGGGCTGGGCCCCCGCGCGCAGGGGCCCGGCGCCTCACCGGCCCTGTCTCTCTGCGCCCCCAGCCTCGGACGAGAGCAGCCCGGAGCCCGGCGCGCCCGCGGCCCCCGGCGCGGAGGAGAGGAGGAGGAAGCGGCGGGTGCTGTTCTCCCGGGCGCAGACGCTGGCGCTGGAGCGGCGCTTCCGGCAGCAGCGCTACCTGTCGGCGCCGGAGCGCGAGCAGCTGGCGCGCCTGCTGCGCCTCACGCCCACGCAGGTCAAGATCTGGTTCCAGAACCATCGCTACAAGCTGAAGCGCGCGCGCGCGCCGGGGCCCGCGGAGCCGCCGGACTTGGCCGCGGAGCGGAGCGCTGCGCCCGGCCTGTTGCGCCCCGTGGCGGGGCCGGGGCCGGTGCGCGGCGGGCGGGCCTGCGGCGGCGGATGCGGCGGCGGCGAGGTGAGCATGGCCGCCCAGGACAAATCAGGCGCGCCCCCAGCCGCCGCCTACCCTCTGCCCGGCTACGCCGCCTTCGGGCCCGGCTCGGCGCTCGGCCTCTTCCCCACCTACCGGCACTTAGCGCCGCCCGCCCTGGTCTCTTGGAACTGGTGAGGCCGCGGCGGGCCGCCCGGACTCCGCAGCGCCCTCCGTGACTGGAGCATCTGGAGCCGGAGGGAGACCTGGCCGCTCCCGGGGCTCCACCACCCGCCGGCTCCCCGGGCTCCCCTGGATCACCACCCGCCGGCTCCCCGGGCTCCCCTGGATCACCACCCGCCGGCTCCCCGGGCTCCCCTGGATCACCACCCGCCGGCTCCCCGGGCTCCCCTGGATCACCACCCGCCGGCTGGACGTCCCTGGGCGCCGGGTCCCTTGATCAGCTCTCACCAGCCAGCGCAGCGCGTTAAAGACTTTCACCAAGATTGCGCCCCGGCCCCAAGATTGGGCCCAGAGCTACAATTTATTGCTTGAACCTTATTTGTATGGGTAGCAATTTATTTTTTAAAAGAAATAGAATATTTTTCCTCTTTGTGGTGCTAGAATAAAATGTGTAGGGTTGGGTCCCATTGTGCGCCTGCCAGGAACGTAGGTGGGAGCTGTGTTTCTCGGTGACCAGGCCCACCCTGAGTTGCGTCAAAATACCTACAAGGCTTTAGGGTGGTGGGGAGAGGGAGGAAGCGGAAGCAACTGCAGGGTCCCTGGTAGAGGGAGGTGGTTCGGGCCCAAAGAGACGCAGAGGCCTCTCTGGGTTCCCAGAGCTGCTGGCGGTTCAAACACTAAAAGTCAATCCAGCCAGCCACAGCCAGGACAGGACACGCGCTTCTCTGTAAGGATTTTCTCAGAGCCTGCTGTGTGTGTTGGGAGTGGGGGGTGAGAAGAGGGGGGAGAAACAGCCTGAGCAGGCTTGCTTTGCTGCAAGCCTTTGGTTTCTGGAGTGCAGCAGCCCGGCTCAGGGTCCCAAAAAGCACCAGAATTTATAACCCCCAGGTAAGCCTTTGCGTGCCTCACCTGGCAGCTGTGATCTCCTGCTGCTTCTTGGCGCTGCACTGATCAGGGTGGCATGGTGAAGAAACCAAACCATGGTGGGGAATGACCCACCTTCGGGCTGCCAGTAGAGCGAGGACCAGTTTAGAGAGCCCTGGGGACCCTTCATAGATGTGGGATACGCAGTCCCAATGCATCCTGGGCTGGAGGATCTAATGTTTCACCCCCGGGGCACCGCTTGGCCTCAGTACATGGAGCAGCAGGGCCTCCTCCGTGGCGGTCACCCTTCGGAGGGGAAGTGAGTACCTCTCTGCCTGACACCCACTGCAAGGCGCTGAGCAGCAGCTCTGGGCATCAGATCCGGGGAATGGAGCAAGGGTTCAATGAGGTCTAGGAGGGGTAGGCATGGGCCCTGTTTGGGGCCCCTCTCTTGTTCCAGGAGGGAGAAGGGTGGCTTAGACTGTTATCACCTGAGATGAGGGGGAATGGGGGGAGAGAGCTGGGCAGATGGGGAAGGAAGTTGGGTATTTGGGTCTCAGCTGCTGGCCACCTTGCCTTCCATATGGATGTGGTTATCTTAGGAGGATCTTGAGCCTTAAACCTCCTTTTGTCTTGGGAATTGAAAGGGACATTGTCAGGCCTGAAAAGGACCTAGACAAAATCAGAACAGTTTTGATTCAGGACTCTGTTTAATCAGCCCCTGGTGACAATGTAGTGGGTGTTAGGGCGGATAATGGTATCTTTTTAAACCTTGTGGCCTTCACAAAGACAAAGAGCTTGGATTTTATGGGCTTACAACTTCAATTAGAATGGTGCCAGTTTGCATGGGAGATTATAAAATTTGTATCATAAAACCTCTTCCCAATAAATGATGACTGGGGAGGGAGCATGGGCATTGTGAGATATACATTGGAAAGAGCCCTGGAGACTTTCTAGTTAGCCCTGGCAGAGCAGATGGGAAAGCAAAGGATGGAGGGGTTTCCGAAGGCCTGCACTGGGACTTGTCCTGGTGGTCAGCGGCCCGATGCTCCATTCCTCCCAAAGGGGTTTTCACTCCAAGAATGGAGATAAAGATTTGGCTCTTGGTGGTGACAATGATTGGAATGTTCTTGGGAAGAAAGTGCAAAATCACCCCTCTTCAGTTTCATGTCCTTCCCCTCCACCCCCCCCCGCCCCCCAGAAAGTAGGTCTTGTAAAGGAACATGTGCAAAGTGGGGAAGGAAGTTGGGTATTTGGGTCTCAGCTGGTCTGGGTCTAAGGGGTCTGGGCTATGGAAAGAAGCTCTTCTCAGGAGCTCTTTGGGAGAGCATGCCCTCAACCAAATTCATCCAGAGATCTGACCAATAAGAAAAACCATGTATCTGCTTCCCAGCAAAGTGGTCAGAGCCATAGCAGGAAGCTCACCAGCAGGCCAGTCTGTGTCCTGGCGGGGAGGAGAGCAGAAATTTCCCATAATGTTAGCATCAGGAGCCATCAGGTACAAACTGTGACCTGCTTTCCTTTTCTCTTTTTCCTTCAGACCCTTTCCTTTAGAGAGAAAAAGCCATAAATGGGAGTTAAAGAAGGGGCTTATAAAAGCACCCCGATCACCACCAAACCATGTGAGAGACTCTGGCTGTCCTTTTCCTGTTCACACCTGTGAGGAGCAGAAAAGATAGCTGTCTGTTTCCCCAGGACCTAAAAGATCCCTTTTTTCAGGCTCTGACAAGGGAAGCTAAGCCCAAAGCCTCTCTTGAAGCAGCTGTGAAAACAGGGTCTCCCTCCCGGTCACCAGCATCACACTCAGCAAACTTTAATTGAAACTTACTCTGCTCCAGGCATTGTTCTAGGCAGTCTCACAGTGGATCTCACAGGAACCTTATGCACTGTACATGGAATAGTCCCATTTGATGGATAAAACCTGAGGCTCAGTGTGTGGGAGTAAGTAACTTGTCCAAAGCAGTTATAAACCTCATAGAACGTTACCAGTGTCTTCAGCTTAACCTACATTTAAACCGCCCTGCAAACTCTTCTTAAGGAGAACAACTGTAGACTTGATGTGGTGACAATATATACACTACCCAGCCATCATAAACTTGCCTTATAGTCTGGAAGAATGAGAACATGCCAAAAGCACAGTTCACTCACAGGGCCACTCACGAAGCTGATCATGTGATGATATCACAGTATAGTTGTTAGCATTTTAAATGTTGCCTATGGACGAGGTCATATTCTAAGTTCTTTTACTCATATTAACTCATTCAATCTTCCCAACAACTCCACAAGATGGTACTCCTATTCCCACTTTACAGATGAGAACACTGAAGGCCGAAGAGCTTATAAGTAACTTGTCCAGGGTCGCACAGCTAGAAAGTGACAGAGAGGATCTGAACCCAAGCAGTCTAACTCCAGATCTCATCATATTTTTAAGCACATGATGGGAATTATTTTCCATTCTTTGTTTCTGTTCCTCAGTTGACAGACCTGATTACCTTATAGAAGCTTCTCTAAAAGTCATGTTTTTACCATGCTTTTGCCCCTCTCCCCCTCTCTCTCCCTCCTTCTCTCTTCCCTATCTACCAAACCTCAGCTTTTGGACACAGCCACTGTGTTTCCCCTATGTCTGTGTGCATTCTTGTCCAGCTGTTAATGACACACAGTTCTTGTCTGCAGGTCACAATATTTTCCTGTGACTGTCATTCCACCATTCTTCCAGAAAAATATCTGTTGCTGCTGCTGTCTTGACACCAGTTGTCTACTCAGGGTTTGGTTTGCTACTGACTCTGATAAGCTCCTCTGAGCTTTCCCACCCCAGGCCCAGATCCCTGGGGAGTTTTATGACTTTGCCTTCCTACCCCTTTCCCCAATCATCCTTTTCCTTCCTAAGCACCACTGCTATTGTTATTATTAAATATCTTCACATTTCCTCTCTCTTCTTCCATTGTAAACATTTTCACTTCATCTCACTTAAGTCTCTTGTGGGTGGATATTGCAATTTTCATTTCAATTTTCCTTCCTCATTGTTCAGAGGATCTTACATCTTAGCACGTCTCTTATCTGACCAATTTAGCACTTAAGAATCTTGGATAATGTACAACTGATGGGTTAGAAGGAAGTTATTTGAGCCCAGGTTAACCTATTCCTTTCCTTCCAACAGTGGTGTTTAGATGTTTATTGTTATCTTGCCTGGTTTATACAATTAATTTGCCTCTTACACACACACACACACACACACACACACACACACACACACTCACTACCTTTAAAACATTTTAGACTTAGAAATAAAATGCCAGGCAGAATAGTTATGGGTTTGGCGTGGCTAAATTGTTAATCATGTTTATCTGTTCTGGGTGTTTGGGTTCATCGCCAAGGCAGGTTATCTGTCAACAAGAACAGTAGACAGTCAAAGGAACATTTGAAATGCTGAGAAAGAACTGTGCCTGTGCCAAGGCATGATCATTCCAATGCATCACTGAGTATTTTAAAATCTGCATAAGAAATTGTATCTCTCCAGGTCACTCATCATTCTTCCAAGCCATAATGTGGGAGGGATTTATTAAATAGCACCTGACTTGTTTTCAAAGTTCCAATTCTGTACCAGTGAACTCCCCTCCACACCCCAGCTCCAAGGTTTGTGACACATTCCTTTCTCCTGTGTGCCCACCATCTGTGCTGCTCAGTCTGTAGGCTGGCTCACCAGAGACATGAACAGAGCTCCCTAAATGCAGACCCACAGAGTGGTGTTGTAACCAGGAAGAGTCAGTCAGGCTCTTAAACAGTCACACATCCACCCCAGATTTTCAAGCGCAGGGATTCGCATGTTTTTCTAAACATGTTCAGTGGAGAGTTGTTATCATTTACACAGAAAAGTAACATCACATTTTGGAGGTCGAAGATCATTTTATCTTCAATATTCTGCCTTATGGACCAATTTCAATCTCTAGTTCTTTATTGAGGTCATGTAATTTTCAAAACTATTGTAGTGTCACTGTAGTTCTGTGAGTAGAGTGTTGTGGAAAGAACATCTGAGGGGACCTTGGTCATGCTTAATTTCCTCCTGCATCCTGACTGGGTGGTCTTTTATGAGTCAACAGGTTTTCAAATGCATTTCCCCAGCTAAAAGCTCTGAAGGACTGTCCCTTTTCTCT